TTCCAGAAGTCTTCACCTATCCCTGTGTGTTCAAGTGTTTCTCCTATGTTATCTCCCAACATTTCTGGTTTTATATGTAGATTGTTGATCTATTTTGATCTGATTTCCAGGTTAGAAATAAGGATCTAGTTTCAGTCCTCGCATGCAAATCCAGGTTTCTTAGCATCATTCGTGAAAGAAGCTGTCTTCTCTCCAGAGTGTATTTTTGGCTCTTTGTCAAAAATCAGATGGCTGCAACTGCATGGGTTTATTTCTGTGTGCTCTGTTCTGTCCCATTGGCCTACATGTCTGTTTCTGCACCAGTTCCATGCTGTTTGTTACCTTGCTCTTGTAGTACAGTGTGAAGTTGGATATTATGATACCTCTCCAGCAGTTGTTCTTGTTGCTCAAGATTGCTTTGGCTGTTCTGGGTCTTTTGTGTTTCAGTATAAAAGTTGAAATTGGTTTTTCTAGTTCTGTAAAGAATGCTGTTGATATTTTAATAGAAATCACATGGAATATGTAGATCGGTTTTGGAAATATAGCTATTTTAACAATCTTGGTTCTGCAGATCCGTGGAAGAGAGGGGCCTTACACTTCCTAAAGTCTTCTTTGAATTCCTTCTTCGGTGTTCTGTAATTTTCATTATAGAGATCTTTCTTCTCTTTGGTTAGGTTAATTGCTAGGTATTTTATTTTATGTTTTTGAAGCTATTATGAATGGAATTGTTTTCTTGGTTTCTTTCTTGACAAATTCATTATTTATATGTAGGAAAGCTATTTTGTGTGCTGATTTTCTATCCTGCTAATTTGCTGAATTTGTTTATCAGATCAAAGAGTCTTCTGGCAGTGTTTTTAGTGTCTTCTAGATAAAGGTTCCTGTAGTCTACAAATAAAGACAACTTGACTACGTTCTTTGTATCCCTTTTATTTCTTTCTCTTGTGCAATTGCTCTGGCTAAAGTTTCAAGAATCATATTGAACAGGAGTGATGAGAATGGACACTCTTTTCTAGTCCCTGATTTTAAAGAAAATGCTTTCAATTCCTCCATGGTCAGTATGGTGTTAGCTTTGGATTGTCTTACATGACTTTTTATCAATTTGAGATAAGATCCTTCAAAACATGTTTTCTTCAGGGTTTTTATCATGAAAGGATGTTAAATTTCGTTGATGGCTTTTTCTGCATCTATTGAGACAATGGTGTGATTTTTATCCTTGATTCTGTTTACATGGTGCATTACACTTATTGATTTGTGTATTTTGAACCATCTTTCATCACTGGGATAAAAACCAAATTCACCATGGTGTATGATCTCTTTATTGCATTCCTGAATTGTGTTTTCAAGAATCTTATTTTTTCCCCCCATTAATTTATTGGTACATTTTAGGTATACAATACAGTTACATTCATCTTTGGTATCTTGTACCATTACATGAGTA